ATACATTTGTGTTTAACCTTTATCTTTCAAAATTGCAGTGTACTAAATTTCAAGAAAGAGTCGTATGTCTGTGGGGGGCGCTAAAAATTCACTAGGGAGCCAAAGGGGGCGCCAGCCTGAAAAAGTTTGGGAACCACTGGTGTATACCATGCTGCAGCTCAGCAGGTACCTATTGTCCTAGCGGACCTAGCCGACGAATTACTACTGTGCGTATTTTCTGAGGGATATCTCCCCCACCAAGAGCTGATACAAGGTTCCAAGGAAGTGAAAGATTTCCCAAGTTGGAGCAAAACTCCCTCCTCTGGTTTGTGTATGTACAGTGAAGAGTGAACACTTCAAGATGAAATGATTAATAGTGCCCTCAGTATTGCATATAGGACACGTACTGTCGTACTGGAATTAGACAAATTGAAATGAACCAAGTGTCTAATGAACCTTCTCCACGCGACAAAATTTCTTCTCGTTTCGAATCACCGACATGTGGAACAGCCGCCCCGAGGACATCGTTGGCGCTCCAAGTATGAACGCGTTCAAGAACAGACCAGATAAAGCTATGGAAAAATATGTTCAAATTTGAAATGCCTAGCACCATATCAAACCGGTGGAAGTCTAGTAGCTACTTCAAACTATCGTCAGTCATCAAAAGATCCGGTCAAATGACACGATTTTAGATCTTCTGTGAACAAGGCACGAAAAGGAAAATAATCGGCAACAGGCGACATCACGCCTACACTTCAGCGCCGAGATCACACATGTTATGTTAAGTGAGCCCTCACCCCAGCATGGCCAAGTCGCAGGCGTGCAGCACATTCCATTTAATAGTATATTTGTGGGTTTCGGTGTAAAAATTCCATTTTATTTAAGTTTTTTAAATTTAATTGGGAAGTAGCCCTATCATAAATTATAGCCGGAAAACGCAATTGAAAAAACGAAATCGCAAAATTTAACCGGAAAACGAGTTCGCACGCGAGTTCGCTAAAGTGTCGGACCGGTGGTTGCTATTCAGAAAGCTCAAGCGTCTCAAGCACCTGGGGGTAGAAGGAAGCCTGTTATATCACTTATACGTATGTTAGCATGGATCCACAACTTCCTCGCGGACAGCGTACTTGCTGTGGCAATTAGAGACACGAAATCGGAGAAGCGAGAGTGAGTAGCGGCGTGACTCAAGGCTCGGTGCTTGAACTGATCCTCATCAACATCACCGACTCCGAACTTTTCCATGAATACATATAGTCATTTGCGAGCAATACAAGAATAATAATGCAGATCACAGACGTCTGGGCCAGCGAGAGGTTACAAGATGAATTTTGGAATTCGAAATCTACATTTCGGGTTTGGCTCATAATATTCAATTCAACAGGGTCCAGGGTGGGCAGGGTGCCCCAGTGGTTACAGTTCAGAGTACCAGGATTGGCAAGTTGCCCATAGTGGCCGACATGAGAGTGTTCCTGATGCGAAAACGATTAGACTGTGGGTGTCCAACTTTAGACAAACAGGGTCAGCACTAAAAAGGCAGGAAGTGGCAGCCACGTCAAGCCATTCCAAGGGAAGTTACACGAAGAATTACGTATGACGGTATGGGCAACTTCAGGGGAAGACTTCGTGAATGTCTTAACAATGGGGGACATCATTTATCGAACATAATTTTCAAAACCAAGTAAAGTGCACTAAGTGATGTAAAATGGCATCAAATAAGCTATTCACAAGTAAAATTAATTGTTCTGTATGTGTCGTATGATTTTTGCAAAAGCCTATTGAAATCAGTTTTTTTGCAGGACCCTGTACCTTCAGTGATGGCTGAGGGGTCATTATGATGGTGGTTTGAATGTGGAGCGTTTCGTCTTTATGGTGGATGTTTGTCCATATTAGTGAAGGCGTCGTGAGGGATGATATTTATAAGTAGTTGGTGTATCTTCCAACTGCCGTGTTTCACTGAACTGTTCAAATTCCTTTGAACAGTCGGCGTCCTTCACCGAGAGCCTCAGTTCGCAATCTTCCTTTCTGAATTCGTCGGCAACCCGAAGGTTATTTGGGTCCATGGGAATTTACCAGCAGAGACGGCACGGTCATACGTTGCTCGCCTGTCGCTGTCAAATGGTTTCTACTCCCAGAGAGTGACTGAAAAAGCGATAGCCCGCGGTCGGTCAAAGCATTTAATTCATATCACGAAATAATTCAAGACACAAGGTGAAAAAATTTTTTCAACGCCGTATCAAGAGAAACAAACCGCAAAAGCATTTGGAGCTAAATGCACCGTCTTGGCGAATAAGGTCAACTTGCAAGTCGTGGTTGTACAGGATGATATCTGAGGGTCACTTAAGTACTACTCAAATTGACTAACCGTTCGGCCAACTGTTTAGATTTTGTGTGAGCGAGATTTTAGCGCAATGAAAAAATTAAACTGATGACAAATTGCAAACAAATCGGAGGCTAGTAGTGCTGAAACTTGGGATGTTGATCTACTCATCAGGGTCTCTGTTTGGAACAAGAGAAAATAGTTCGCTTTCATAACCAACTTGTTTAACATTGATACACAAAAGGTTGAAATGAAACGCTCATAAGTGGAAACACTGAGACCAAATTTATTTTTATGCATATTGGAACATTCAATACAAGTATAGCCAGTGTAAATGATGATAATATTAATAATCATTAAAAGCGTTGAAGACCAGCGGAAAGTCTCCCATGAATCAGTGGAGATATGCAGGAGGCTGCTGCAGCGATGGCACCACACATCCCCCCACAGCCACAGCAGCCCTGAGACTGGCGGTTCACATCCAAGCGTTGCCCTATTACCTATGCAAGGCGGGAGGCGCACTCACTCTTTATACAGACAAGACTCGCGCTAGAGCATCTCACACTCCTCAACCGCAACGAGCTCACCAATGCTCTCTCTTCTTGACAGTACCAAAGTAATACTAAGAAAATTATTCAGTGACCAATGAAGCTCTCCTTGATGACCCGTAAGCACGACAATAATACCAGTAATTACCACCATATCCTGGCGGTAAGTCGGTTGCGGCAGAAATGCTAGCCAGTTAAGACAATAGAAGCGTCGATTCATTTGGTACAGTCGGTATACTGATCATGAGCAGGTCATCAAGAAGAACGAGAATGGCACGTCAGACAAACTCAACACCAAGATTCACAGATATTATAGACTGCGCGACCAAAGATCTTCTAGTGCGCTCAGACATCGTGGCTCATGATAATAAATGTAGCCTCAGTCTCAACTATTGAAAGCCTGGCAGCTCTCGTACGTCAAAATGACGACGGCACGAACTTGACCCGATAGAGATATCATAGAGCGACTATTGGATCCTTGGCTACGTGAGAACGAACAGTCTTGTGACGAGGGACGAGTTGCAACTTTGTCAACGCGATCTTCGCTCACGAGAAAGTTCGGGCTTTTCTACCTTTCTAAAAAATACCTTAAAATATACAAGAAAAAGATTAGGAGCCTTACGAAATGTCCAAAGACATATTGGTTGTGATGCCAGAGAAAGTGAGAAGCCCTTTAAATTATGCATGAAGCTACCAGTCAAATTTCAGGACTCAAGACAGCTTTTAAGATGCCTATGTGAGGGAGGAAAATTGCACCACTTGATCAGTAGAGGATATCTATTACGAATTTGTAATTGCCATTGAACGTAGGAAAAGAATTCCCTCGAAAAAGTTACCATTGATTCAACAGCACGTAATTTAACAGAAAACTGCCTCTGAATAATGCTGTCGTGATTACTATCACGCGAAATGAAGTTCTATATGCTTGCTTCTACTTTTTTTACTAGACGCCAGGCAACAACTGTCTATAACAGGGAACAAGAGCGATCAGCTGCAAGAAACGTTTCTCTCGTCCCATGTACCGCTAATCGCTGTCATAAGTGATGATCACTAAAGATAGCTTTATTTGATAAGTAGTTTGCATATGATCATACGTGACATAATATCAATTCTTTTAACCAAGAAGGGCCAATTATGTCTCTGATTGCTTCAAGTACAGAAGAGAGAAGTACAGAAATATAGAGAGGGATACCCTCAGCAGAATTACTAAGGCTAATACGGTTCATGATGGCAGGACTTAAGGTCACCAGCGAGTGTGCGATACACAGTAGCATAATGGTACAAGTTTCACCTCTCAAATATATAGATGTATTTATAATTATATAAATATTTATAGCAATATATATATCTATCATATATAATTCAAAAGAGACTCCAAAATAACCTAACCTTTAAACTTACAACTGATGTATTAACTCTATTGTAGTGCATAGTAAAGGGTGGATAGCGCCTCTTTTGTCGATCTCAGAGTAACGGAAGGGGTACTTGGTCGAGACCGAACAAAATGAACTTCTTGTCACAGATGCATCGTAGACATGGCTGCTTCCCGACACACTTTAACGTTCAAGTCGTAAGACACTGGCGCTCATACTCAGCGGTCGCGGTCATAAGTCACAGCAAGCTACGAGTTGCATCTTGTCGCATGCAGAGCAAAAGATGTACAGTAACTAATTAACGGAGCACAGTAGCAGTACAGCTCGTTAGCTAGACACTGCAGCAGCCGTAGCACCTGCATCAACACGTGTGCCAGCTAGTAAACAAGGCACCTGCTACACTAGCAGCAACCATCAAGTTCTGCTTCACTTAGAGGAAATATCATTCAAGGGGCTAGACTTATGCTGCGGGACCACATGACAATAATCAGCACCACAGGCGGTTGCTTCGCTGCCTCACTGGCCGCAATGCCCGCTCAAGCATCGTACCATAAGCACTTGAACAACACAATTATTCCAAATCAATACTTTTTATTAGTAACATAAGGTAAGTTAAAATTAAATGCCAGTTAGGTTTTGGCGATGAGCAAGAGCAAACAATTATCAAGTTCAGTTTAGTGTTCGCAAGAACAATCTATACCGAAAATAGGTGCAGAGAACATACATTTGTATGGGGCATCAAATGCGCACTATACCTTACCATAACCATCCCGAATTTAAGACTAAGAGCAATTTCTCACTAAGATACTTAAGTCTTTACAATATTTCTTAAGAAGGAGAACGTATAATGAATAACGCATGCACAATAGGTGGGCACAATAATTTTAGAGTCATGAAAATACCATTAACAATAAATACCGAGACAGTTATCTGTTCAGGAATATAACGGCATTATCAATAATCAATAATAATAAATAAGATATAAAATGAATCACTTACAAAGAAGTGTGGACTACAGGACGAAAAGAAAGCAACGGCGGTAATCGGTTTACTCAGGATCAGATCATGGCAAAGCTCCGACACATAAAATTATCGCCTCAGTAGCATACCACGTCATTCTTATTGCTCAGAATACTCACACAAACAATACATACAACGTAGAGACGTGCACGTGTACACGTCTTTTGATGCTTTACATTTTACGTGGTTTGATCCATAATATTGATAAGAAATGCATGCAGCTCGACAGCTTACACGGCCTTTGTTTGTTCAATTTGTATGAGGGTTAATGGAGAAGAGAAATGTTCAGGAGGGGAAGACTCGCAAGTGCGGTGCACGCGCATGAAGAAAGCAGCACGAGGAAGAAGTACAGGATGCAAATACCAACGTATTCACTTAGTGGAAGAATTTGTAGTGATTAGAAGAAGTAGTTGGAAAGAGTCACTTGGTACGCGGAAAGAAGTTGTAGTGAGAGCTCGAGTTGTACAGCGACAGTTGGCACCGAACGAATATCCTGATAGCTCATCAACATAACCATCGTAATCTTCATCACAGTTTTCATTGATTCTAAAATACTTTGTTGTACCCTGAATGGCCGCACCGATTCTAGAACGTGCATGCATGCTATACCACGTCAACTCGACTGTTCTTACATAAGGCTATCAAGAGAATCGAAACTGCTTAAGCTCACAGCTCTTTGTGATTTGAACAAGATGATGGAAATGCCTTCGCTGCAAAACTTAGGCTAAGCCTATGGAGAAACTCTCCAATAAAAACCCTAGTTTAAAATCAGAATACAATTGCAGTTATTTTAATTTATTAAATTTTATTACTAATGACTGATATATATTAAGAATGCAATTAAAGGAAGACTGATTCCTAAGAAAAAAATTTATCTAAACGGAGAACTTGGATGTACATAATTAAAATCAAAGTGGCGGTAGATTTTCAAACAATACACATACTTGATCATAACTTTTGACTAAATACTTATAATAATAAGGGCTGACCAATTATTAATTAGGGCTGACCATCTCATTTCGGGCTGGACGAGAGAAGCATCAAAGTGAGCTCTCCCGCTACAACATCCTTAGAATAAGCCAGTACATCAGTAAACATGACACAAGGTCAACACTAGAAAATATGAGGTATCGAAAAGTGAGGCAATTCATTGTTAAGAATAAGTACTGAGGTACAAGGCCCACAACTTATATCATCACTAACGGGTAAAGACACTTCATTTTAACAGCGTCCATAGACAAGAGATTGTGCACACAAGTCTTCACAGTGCGTCATTACGAGTCGGATGCTGACTCGCAACTTAGCACCGCATGCAGCAGAACCGCTGCTCTTTGGGACTTCCAATTCACAAGTAGATCCGAAAATGATGTAGTCACTTATGCAAGAAAAATCCTATTTAAATGTTAAAATATAGTAAAAACGTTGTGTTTGGACCATGGTGCATTTGCTGCAAACACGGGTTAAGATTCGAACGATAATTCAGATCAAATATTGCAGGAGTTTCTGTCATAATACGAAACAAGGATATACGAGTGTAAGTTAGAGACCAAATTTAGTCTACACATTACGTAAGTAGGGTTCGCAGCACCAACAGCGGTCAAGTCAAGGGAGTAATAACTATCAACTAAACCTTCAAAAATAAACCATGCAACACATGACAATAAATTTCAAAACCAACAGCAAGATATACAGGCAATCGATGTTCCGAAAGGAAGCGGTTATCACAAGTCTCGTACACATAGCAAGTTTGGAGCTTAAAACAATAACACTAAGACAACACCGTGTGGAAATGTCCTAGCGATGACACGCATTGGTGCGCGCCCATGCAAGAGATAAAGCTTAACGTCACACATTGTTCGCTCAATAACAAGTTTTATCTCAATATTTATGTAGGTTAGACACTTTTTTGAGAAGATTCGATTATGATTCCAGGTTGAGACAAACTGAAACGCATCGCTAACGCACATGTCATTACAAGGAACGAGCATCAATCTAGTGCGCAGCGGTCAACACGAGAGAACAATAATTTGCTTCTACATCAACTGAATAACACTAAATTTTCCATCGTGGCTTCAAATAAGCTACTTGAAAACCTTGAAGAAAAAGAATCTGGGTGCTAGAGTAAAGCAAATATGGCAAGTTTATGGAAGTAAAGAAAGCGCCGATTATATGAAGTATGAAGGAGCCTAGGTCATCCATCATTAGCCAGAGAATGCCAATGAGCTTGACTAGATGCCGCATGCCCTCAAAGAGGCGGTAGCGACACGAACGGACCTTCGGCATCAGTGCCGTATCGCCTAACCGGCAGACAATGTAGCAAATCAACGCTTCATGCTAATTCAGTAGTGCGAGAAATATTGAAAAATGTATCGAAAGTTAGTTCAAACACGCTGCTGGCTGGAGAAATCCCTCAAAACGATAGCACTTAATGACTGGACAAGGATGAGATCTATGATACAACACAGAGCGTATCGCGTAAGTCGAGTGAATGACTCGGAGTTTCGTTGTATGCGACGTTTTTCATACATACAGTCTTAGGGGAGAGGAAATAATGAGGCTGGGTCAGAGCGAGTAGGTGAAACGGTCACATGAAACCATGGTCCGGAAACGACAGTAATTACACCAGAGCTTCACGGTGACCACTCAGTGTATACACCAGATAATCGATTGACCGAAGCATCTCAGCGAGTTTTCTTCGTCAAAATTTTACATTAATTTAAATGGACTGAATTGATGCCTCAAATGGACCTCAGTGAGATATTGGCGCGCAGAACATCTAAGGACAACCACAAAGCACCACTCAAGATGCAGTGGGCACGCATGATTAGCTCGAACACAGAGCCTAATTTTAGCATTACGGGCACGGATCACTGAACAATTATTTGTATTACGTGGAATAGCTGGGGATTATTAGTATTTATTCAAATGAACACAACAGTATTGGAATCTATGAAGCGTTCATGTTTTTGGACAGCTAAATGAATTTATCAACAAAGCAAACGTAAATGGAATCCGCTGCCGCAGCCCCACACCTACCGCAGCATTCAAGACAATATGTGACCGATGCTAAGAAGCGATCAGGAGTAAATTCAGGAGCGGAATGTCCACCGAGAAATAGTTAAATTCAGCAAGCTTCAGAATGTTGTCTCTGACAAGTGGAGGATTTAGCAAGGAAAGCATCGTTGCAATTGAGACGCATAAAACTTCATCTGATCGATTGAAGTGAACCCGACCCATGTACGCAATATGTTCAACGAAACTCGGCTAAATCACTCGAGTACAGGAAGGAAATGAGTTTACTCACGGATGATTCTCTCGTAAGAATATCATTATTGTATGTTAATTTGTACTGGCAGTATGGTATTCAGCACTTAGGCGCTACAACAACAGAAAACAAAGAAAACAATCGACTAGGCATTGAATAGCAAATCACCAGCGTTTAAAAGGATAATACAAAATAAATAACTTTGGAAAATTGGCTGTGCACCACATGTAACCTGATGGAGGCACTTTATACTAATAGTAGAGGACCGGGTGCGTTGTCACTAAAGTAAATTCAAAGCTGGCCTAACAAATTGACACCAAGGCTCTTACGTAACGAATGGAAGGAGCGACTGTGACAACACTGAGATATCCTTTAGTTAACGATAGCTTAACAAAGGCAGAACGAAGTAAACATAGAATTCTTCATGATATTCAACAATGATCACACAATATGAGCAATTTTTTTCATTTAAAGAAATGACATTTGGCTATACACGTGGATGAGCAGAGCTGCGCTCGGCAGGGCAAATGATAGTCCCTAGGCACGCAGTCGCGCAGTCGCGTCACACGTCATGGCAATCACGACAACTTACACACCGGCTTCAAAAAGCATAGCTTAGAATTTAGTCTTGAACTCGGCGAGGCTTCAGCGATTTACTTATAAAATCCGAATAATAAGACACTCTTCAATGTGACGCATAAGGAATACTGAATGTCCCTTTTTTCACAGCAATAAAATTATTTTCTGAACTGAAGTAGGGTACAAATGTGCTCCCCTAGTTGGAATTTCCCTCACTTCGATCCCGCCTTCAAATTACTTCCATCAGCATACGCACATGTCAGTAAGGAACTAATATGTGAATCATGCCCTAACAAAGGGCAAAATTTGAACACAATCGCAGGAAAGACAGAAAATTGAATAGTTTTATATTAATAGAATAGAAATAAGCGTAAAATGAAAGAATACGACACGTCGAATGCTTTAGCTCAAATCCAAACAAATACCTAAAAGCCAGAACACTAAAGCGGAAAACATTGAAGCTTTACTAGAAGATGAGTCACATCACCACTGAATGGTTCTTCTGATGGTGGAAGCTCCAAATATAACAGAAATTTTTTCTTCTTGAAAACGACGCTCGACGTCGTTTTCACTTTTTTCAAGTGAAAACGACGCTTGAGGTGCCATAAGTTGAAAATAGTTCATTGAAATAACGGCCCAGCATATGACGAATTATACAATAATCAATATTGACACATGAATTACGCCACCTCAAATGCTCCCGCATTTGTGCATTTGAAATCAGATTATTGTTGACTCCTCGGCGACGATTGAGCGACACCACGGAGTCGACAGGATATTAGCAGAGGCATCTTGGATACGCGCAAATATTGAGTGTATTTCAAGTGCGAGTCAAAAATACTAGTGCACATCGTCTATACTTATTGCCCAAGCTTAAAATAAGCAATTCTGAGACAGTCAAGCCTCAGACAAAATACAAGAATACATAGTGAATCAGGAAAGAATGATAAGTATAACTGGGGAAACTGAGTATCATACGCAAACGAATAATTAAAATACTACAACTGGAATATGACATTAAAACAAAAAAATTAAGCCTAAAATAGAGAATTTCAAGATCAAATTAAAGAGGAAAATTACACTTTTTCTCTTCTGTATACATAAATACTTGCGTAGAACAAATTGCAAACTATGAATAAAATGAAATCAATCTCAAAAATCTCAATGTGGACACGTTCAATAAAATATTTTAAGATCATTTATTAGCTGCGCATTACGACTGGAACATCAAAGCGAGTCTGGCACTAAAGACAGGCCTTGCATTTTGGTTAAGAAGACACAAGATCGCAGGCGAGTTTACGACGCTTGCATGGACACTTCAGTATATAAGCGGAGACCCGCAACAACAACACCCCCAGAAAAAGCCCGCACTTAGTGGGGAACATAGCAGCGGCAATCGAGTACTGATGAAAAAATCTTTTGCATCACAGAACTCGAACAGTTGTGGAGGAAATTCAAGCGACGTGACAGATGATATTGAAATAAAATTATACATTAGCGTCATGCGAAACGCACAAAGGAACGGATACGAGGGGATTGATAAGCGGTCAATTCCTCGAGATCCTAAAAAAAAGTTAACAAGGATTCAGGAATATATTAGGAACCAACACGATAATCTGAACGAACGAAATTACGTTACACAGAAAAAAAGAGAGCAACAATTTTTTAAAGGACTACGGAGGATCGAGATTGACTGGAGGAGCAAATGCGGTAATACTGCTGGATACTGCGAGCGACACACCAACCAAGCGCACAAATCAAAATAAAGCGAAGCCGATATCGTAATTGCTCACAAGGAATGCGATTAACTGTGCCGTGCCGCCAACCGACCACATAATGAATGCTAGTTTTTGCACTTCTTGCTTCAAGGCAGAGAGACGAGAACGCCTTTACTAGGGGAATGAGTGACGACTTCAAGTGGAAATGAAGCAGTAAAAAGATACACCGTTATAATCAAGTGTAAGGCAAAAAGAACCAGGAAACTTGCATTGAGCAAATCAGGAACGGTGTCCTCAGCACCGCCTAAAGAGCCGCACGCAACATAAATGAGATTATATTTTGCTATAAGAGAGGCCGCAGCAGCAGCACCACCAGAAGGCACATGTACGTTGCACTTGCCCTGAAGTATCACACGTTGCCAAGACACGGATAATATGTGCATAATAATAATAATAACACACAACGCCATCACCACACGTTATGCTCGCATTACAGTAGATTAGTCAAGTCATTGTCACGTCCGAGCGTTCTGTTCCAACGACCAGTTTTTATGATCACGAAGCTCACTTTCGATTTAAAGCGGAACAATTTGTCTTTTCAAGATTAGGGTAAAATTTAAATTCGAAAGAAGATGTTATTTTAAATGAGCCCGACTCGTTTTAAGAGATTTGCAGGCTCTATTTTTTAAAGCTAGACAAGTTCGAGAAGTTTGAACCTCGTTAAAGTATGACCAGGAACTACACTCGGGATGATTAGGTAGAAGAAAGCCTTGCGTGCTTTGGAAGTTCGTACAACAAAGGAGTGGACGTCACCAAAATAAGTAGCGGAGAAGTTATTCCAGACGTTTTTAATCAGGAAGAAATCTTTCTAAAAATATTCTCAAAGTTGAACGAGGGCGTTGCTTTTAAAACCGAACAAAAAGGACTAAATCTTAAGAAGAAAAAACAAACTTCGATCGTATTATTGTGATCAAAAGTTTAGGAAGAGCTGTTAACTGACTAGCTGCACTGGACGAACGAGAGCAGCAGCCTCATACCCATACCGTGCACTTGACAGCACACCTTTTGTACATTTTTAGACTAAAATGCTATGCGCTCTAATTTAAACTAATATTATTGTTATTATTATTATTATAAAGACATTTTTGGAGAGACAAATGGCTGTGGAGATGGAGCTAATAAAACAATCCACATGCAGATATGCATCATCATAATATGGCGAGTACGCAACACCTGAAGTCATGCATCGTTCAATAATTACTTTGGACACGGGCGCCCCCGCCGGCAACACGGTAGCAGCTCGGCTTTTATGTCGCTGGTCGTAGGTTCACAGCGTTTACACGCGTTCTTTATCGTAAGCAAATGCACGGTACTGCAGGCGAGAAAATGCGCAAATAGTTTAAGAAGAAAATCACAAAGACGGAAGTATCAAGGCTCCACAGCTGCAATTGGCCAGAATGAATCGTCTCCAGTAGAGTCTATATAAGGATTTGCGGGCAGTTCTGCCAAATATTAGCAGAATCAGTAACGCTATGTATTACGCGTCACACAGGGTAAACTAGCAACAAGTGTCACAACCAAGTCATCAGTCAGAGACAACGACACGCGCCTTAAAACCAAGCTTCAATTCTACAATAGCAAAGCCATTGGCCGCTCACACACGTTTTATTGTTTTATTATTGTTTTTAGCTATTTTTTATTAGGCAATCTATATTAACTTAGTATTAGAGGCTAAAAATAGGAGTTTTTTGTGTGTGTGAGCAGAGCTTAGCAGCGCCACCAGAATCGATAGAAGATAAGAACAGAACGTGCAAATATAAGCTTAACAATTAACTCTACTAGCACTTAATTATAATAGCCAAAGTACGCAAATTTGAGTAAATTTTAAACTAAAACCAACCACTTACGCACGAGACAAACAATGGAGCAAGAAACAGACACGAGCCTACATAGGATGAAGCCATCATCGAGGCACCACATCAGCCCAGCGCACGCTTCTGCTTGTTTATTGAAGCAAATTTCACATGAAGAATAAGTTCCTGAATTATTTGTATGAGCCAGTATCAAAGATACGTTACGAACGAATGTCATTCATATACTCAAGGGAGAATCCTTTTTCATAAACTACGCAAGCATACAAAACGTATTTGCATTGTGAAGAGTATGATTTTGCTGCGATGAGGGTGAGCATATAATGCTGATATATCAATGAAGGCAGATGCTGACTGGCACTCCGACACACTGTAACGCAAACCAAACACTTGTGTGTGTTGGAGGTGGAAGATACCTCAGCTACAGCGCCACGAAATGACACAATATTGCATGAAGTTCACAGAGTTTATTTAATAAAAAATTACACAGCAGACGAGGCACTCAGAGCGTGAGGATTCAAGTCTCAAGATGATGGCAGAGGCACGTTCGATGGACATTGGATCACGAAACACGAAACACAAGGAGACAGAAATGCACACGTGTAATAAAGCCAAGATTTTGTCAGTGCCGCAACAATGAGCAATATCAGATAAGACAACAAAGGAAATGAGCAGAGTTAATAGTCAAGAGGAAATATACGGAGCAATAATAATACTTGACTCGTTTTCGTAAGTGATCACAATAAAGGGAACTACGATTACTGACTGAGAACATTTGTATCGTTATGCATTGGGTTAAAAATATCAACAAACAGAACGAAACAAAATAAGCGTCAAGGGAGCGTGGCGAGAATAACTCGTGCACTCGAAGTAAAGGCGCAACAGGCAGTACTAAGCACAACTGGCACACATTATCAGCCCTAACACCAATATTGCCTATTTTGATTGACAATTTTCATTGACTGGTCAAATTTTAGACACAATCGTTGAGAAATAACAAGCAATTGGGGCCAATGGCACGAACGATCTTTGAGAATTTGATATTAAACTGAATGAGGCGTGTCGCAGAAATTTCAACCAAAAGCAAGGCATCAGGAGCACGTTTGAAAATCATTACACATTGAAATGGAAACACACAATTGAGATTTCAATCAAATTATAAATAATTGCGAAACATTGGGTAGAGGCAAACGTCGAGGGTTGCGAGGCTTCGTATCGACCCGAAGAGCTGTGCAAACTCAACAGCCATCGGCTGATCACCAACTCAGGCAACAAGCAGCCAACTAATAAAAATCACACAGCGTTTATTGTTCATCAGCGAAATCAATTATGACACGAATAGTCTCTAAGACATTATAAAAACAAAACAAACGACACGACGAGATGCCTCACTAGATCGAGCGAACTCAAGAGATCCATTGGTGGGTCGTAACTTTCTTACCAGGCCACACGTCCATGGCAAGGTCTGCTCTGCTGGTCGCTTCTAGTGACCGCGGAACAGCGTCACCGCCTCGCGGGCACTCGACACAACACACATCTGTCCCACTAAGAGGGGAGGAATATTTGACACAACGCACATATGTCCCACTAAGAGGTGAGGAATATTAATTACAGCGAAGAGCGTTTTTGGAGCCATAATGAGTGTGGCCAGGATGCTCTTACCGACGTTTGTCCTCGAGCCAAGTAACGCAGAGCGAGACATGAGGCGGAGGATCATCGTAAGCAATCGACACAAGAAACGCGCAAATTCTCAGTACGGTAACCAAGAGCGTGTCGTAGGAGAGAATAATTGAATGCGATGACGATAATGATGATTTAGTGAGTACTCGCTCGCAAATGAGAGAGAAGCAGCAACGTCAGACTAAGGCTGGGGCGGCCATATTGCACATAATGAGCGAGTCGTGGTCTGTTAGACACGAGCCCTACACCGCTACACCAGAAGTGCTCGGTGACGCAGTCCACTCCTCTAGTTGATTATCTTGCACGCATTCACATGCCATCACAACAAAAACTTACTTCGAGTGGCAGACGCGTTTAACATCGAGCAGCCAGAATCAAGCAACAAGCGCCAGAAGAATATCAACTATAATACCACTTATGATAAATCACCTTACGATAACCTTACCCACAAATAAAGAATAAATTAAATAAAGTTTTTCTGTTCTTGATGCATGAACGTACATAGCAATAAGGATGATAGGAGGTAATAAGGAAAGGAAGTCACGTTAACAAAGGTCCTCACAAGAAGCACCTGAAGCGACACGTCACCAAAACATGAGCGCAGCAAGTCAAACGCCCCCGCTGATGGTCAAGTCAGGAGCACAAAACTATGTACAGAAGACACAAAAACTACAGACTTCCATCTGCTACTATCACTCTACACGAATATAGCAAGGTAAAAGGCGAGAATCTTATCGAGTGTAATTTGCAGTGAATGCTTTAAAAACCATAAGGTGTTGGCGGACTGTTGTAGCGGGTTGACCATCTCTGCTACGTGGCGTGCTCCTCTCACAGCTCTGAGCAGCGATTCTCATGTTACTTTATTTCACATTTTTGCCGTATGGGTTTAAGGCAAATTCGAAGTCAAATCGCGTGACGTTCGTCAGCAAGAATCATCTAAAATGCAAAGCAATTTAGCTGTCCAAGACTACACTTCACCGAGGCAGAAGACTACAAAGCGCAGTAGATCATTCCTCTAATTACGAAGTTCGCTGACAATTAAAACTCATTGCAACTCAAACTGAAATTGACACCCTGATGCATCGATCTGGAGGGAGAGCTCAAAGTCACGTGGAGACCAATTACCGTCATCACCTATTAAAATGACAATCATAGGCCTAAAAAGGAATCAGAATCGCATAAAAATTCGGCCACTTCGAATTTTATTCACATTTTAATAATTCGGTTGGGAAAAAGTCATAAGTATATTTAACAATCGGAGGCTAACTGCATTATCAACGTGTTCCGGGGCCGCAAGAATTGAGAGCCATTATATATCATTACGCTTATTTTGACGACTCTTGAAAAATTCAGATCAGATCAAACGACGTAGTAAGAGTTCAGTCGAACACGATGTCTAAGCACACGTCGCTTTGAGCGTTATTGTTCTGTGAGCGCACTAAAGCGTGCGTGTCATGGGCAAGCAGGGGCTGGCTTCACTACCATCAATACAAATGTGAGCTCGAGACAAACAAGAGAACCCTGTATTTGTTGCATGCGTTCGTGCTGTAATTCAACTGCCCAAAATCTTACGAGAAACAGAAAAAGCTTCTCGTCTTATAAACTAACAACGCTCAACAGTAGGCCTAGATTATAAGAAAACGACACCCAACCACTACATGCTAGACTAAATATCTACGTCATCAAGACCATAAGCGCCTTTCTAACACATAACACTTCCGTACCTTAACACTAGTTAATGCTTGGTCAAAAATCACACAGTACTTCTCTCACGAAAAAAACTCTGGAAGTGTTAATACCTAACCATATTTTTTTAGATTTTTAATATTTTAATGCAATAAATAACTACAATGGAATCACAAAGAATGACACACACCGCCGTTGTCCGGACCTAATAATATCATAGCAGGGCAAGGCTCCGAGATGGATGAGTGCTTTACCAAAGAAGAAGAGCTAATCGCAGCATCTCGGCAAGCAATGAGCACCAGAGGCATTCGTCGTGATCACACACTATGTACAGTAGAGCTATGATAGTAGACCGACACCACCCAAAAAACAAACACACACGCTCGTCGAGCAATAGAAGAAGAGCATCTTATGCTACTTTATTTGGCAGACCAATGATTACGAGGATTGGCTCTCCTCTAAAAGCTACTGTACTCCATGAAGCCGATACCACTCGGCTCCACAAGGGTGGGGGGCGCTGCGCGTGTCTCCTAAATGTTTGTGTTTTGCTAGTTGGTAAATTATTTAGCGCTTCTTTAGTGATGACGATTGTCAGTGGTAATGTATACAGGTCACAAAATGCGCTTTCGTTTCGAAACGGCAGGAAGGAAGAAGGCTCGATGTTTTAAGAAGGTCAATGTAGAAACTTTTCAGTCAATGAGCAGTGAAACGTTTGATGCGTTGAAACGAAAACACTAGCACCACCACACCACGCTACAATATTGATATGGCTCATGAGTATCACCAGGAAGAAACATTTCGATTCCCTCCAATTTACACCTAAAATCTTTTGAAGCTTAACGTTAAGTCTACGAACATGGGCACAGTGTTGGCAAATGAAGGACGCTATTGAAGCTCGCCAAGGAGAGGCTGGTCGTTCGGTTTGGGTTAAGAATAATATGAATAACAATAAGATATTGCATAATAACAGCAAACGACAGGCAGTACCTCATCACACGCCTCCACCTACACAACACTGTAAAAATAATTAATCGCACAAAATTCGAAGCCTAATGAGAACAAAATTCGAGCCAAGATCATAAGGAATAGCAGAAAGGAAATGAGTGAGCGTAAGAATGTTATGATGAGATAAGTTCGGCCAGCCAGTTACTATATGGTGGGGAGTAAGACTACTGAGTGGCACTTCTTTATACTCTTCACAGGATCAATGCTATACAACAAGAATACTGCAGAATTACGATGGACAGATCACCACCAACCACAAGCGTCATTGCACGAGCACCTCTGCGTCAAGGGATGAAGGTTCTTCAACACTTAACAGACCGCATTGCAATAGCCATCTGAACACCTACAGAATAACTACCTATACACCGCAAACAAAGCGCATAATTCCAGAAGTAAAATAATATCTTAAATCAAGACTGCAATGAGCATGGACCCATCAGCGTAGTCTGGTGGAAAAGTCACAGTTGGAATACTTTAAAGGGCAAAAGAGAGCGGAGTGGTTGGTGGACGAGGCTTAGACACGGTAGCATAACGAGGATATGAAAGAGAATTTGAAGAAGAAGAAGACGATGAGTGCAATACACCAACAAGAAGTGAGCTAAACACCTAACATTCAATGTGTCTTTCCTTAAGAGGCAACAGTGAAGGCGTCCAGAGTAAGCAACACAATGGTAATAATACAAGGAGCAACTCGAGCGATTCTCTGCACCGCCTTCACGAGTTGTTGCATGGCTCAATTGTGGCTGCAGGTCACAGGTTGGAATCGCAGGCAAGTTTTGTTGAGCCAAGGCTAAAGTAGTTGGCCGTGGAACTTGACCTTCATTAACAAGCAAATCATGCCTGCGGTCCGTTCCGCTCGACTGGCCCTCACCTCTGAGGCTCACACCACATCAAACAAGCGCCAGGCCAGACTTGAGGCGACGCTTACCATGCATGTTGAGACGCATGCAGCTACACATCGATCTATTAAAATGCCGGCTCGATAAAAAAAAATGCTGTGACCTCCGGAGCCAGAAAAACCGTCAGTCAAAGAGGAATCTTGACTATGTTAACACAACCCGTTTGAACCAGAGGAATTGGCCTTGCATTCGTATAAAATCATCACCGCTGCAGCGTCAATGTGAAGCGATTAAAAAGAAGCTCTAACATCACTGAACGAAACTCATCGGAGAAAGATGCGCCAGATTATCGGCGAATATTAGTCCTAAAGAAAGCAAGTGCCGAGCACGCGAGTGAACTCACCAACGCAAAAGTTGCTTCGAATTGACTGCCCAGTGACCTGGTGACGAAAGAGAGGTGCCCCATGCTCATTATCACGCTACTATAAGTGCTATCAATCCATTTACTGGTTAGCAACTAGTACCATTATTATCCATTGCTTATCACTAAAAAAGTCTTATATTACTTTCATACCTTAACATTAGATAAAACTTATTTAGTTCTTTTGGTACATATAGTAAAATCACGCGCAAATTACAGGTAAGTATATTCTGTTCAATTAAGGACTGGATCTAGCATATTTACTATTACTACTCGCCTTAGGAATTCTAGAAGAGACAAGAAAGACTTAAGACATTATTGGCTTCTAAGAGCTAAGACCAGCAGTAATCTCGGAGTGGCTCGCAGCACGCGGCGCTGGAGCCTCGTTGTCACTGGGTCACCACTCCTCAGGAGGGCTTCTGCTCTACCATTTAGCGCCAGCAATTGACCGCACACCCGCAGTCGGGGTCAGCGCTGCCGGTTCACCACTGTCGACCTCAGTTGCGCGCAGCAAGAAGTGCCTTCGTAACGCTGCCTTGGATGGGGTTCAGGGTGAACACAAGCGATCACAGAACACCCACGCACCGACCAAAACACTTGCATGCGCGCGCAGCCTAAAGTCGACCACAAGGATGTTAGTGCAGCGCGAGCGAGAGCAATTAAGCACTACACAAGCACACTCCTTAAACACATCATTCCTAAACGCTAATCAACTGAAAAACATTAATGCAAAACAAATAAACAATCAGAGCAGATAATCAACTTGAGTAATATTTAACATTTGTATTTTTAATTCACAGCACAAATATTTAGAGCTCAGGGAACGAATCTCGGGTCTTGACACCTGATAACCACAAGGGCGAAACGCGCAAGACAAGGAGAGCATCGAATTGAGCTGTAGCTTCACTGTTAACCTAAGGTTTTGTGGTTTGCATTCTTTACTTCTTGTTGGGAGCATAAAGCAAGTACTGTAAGGCAAGTTGTCTCACCACAGAATAGTTTGACTTGCTTATAAATGTTCACTTCGCCCTAATCCTGACGAAAGTACAAACGCGGAAGAATGGAGAGAAGAAGGAACAAGTCAAGGGAGCAAAGGAACATCTCGTCAAGTCTTTATGCTTTCCCTAGTGTGCGTCATACTTCTCTATTATTATTGTCATGCCCCCTTGCCTCTCAAATCATAACGCTCCTTAACACCGAACCTCGTACAAATCATTATCAAAGATATGGATTAGTTCAAATGTACTAACAACTTTGGTAAGCTCACTCAGTGAAAATTCTGTTGGTAGTTTATAATAAGGGTATATGTTATCATCACAGCTTTTGGCAAATCCAATCTGATTCTGGATAATTAAAGTCTCTCAACACAAGCCGAGAGTTAAGAAAATTGCTTGGGGCGAGCCGAAGCCGCTGATAGGAATCCGCTCAAGCAGAGCCCTAAGATAACCTGAAAACTGTTCTGTGTTTCGTAATGATTGGAGGCGCCGGCTGCACAGCGGAGTAAGAAAAAAAAAAAGAAGCGCACCGCGACGCGAGCGTTTAAATCTTGGCTCATAATGCCCACTTAAGAGCCAGGTTCAGACGTGAGCAGCCCATCAGGCAAGAAGGTTTTGAGTGAAGAAGGAGTGGCTCGCTGTTGAGGATCATTGGCGGAGTCGGTGAGAGACGAGACTCCCCACAGAGATCCAGCGCCTGTGTTACCACCAGCGCTGCCCCACAGGTTACCGGCACCTGTGCTCCAAGTGTCCACTTTGCCTCCTGATGAGGTTGGGGTAGAACCACGGTGATCAGAAGTCATGTTGCCCCAGCTGAGGGGTGTGGCCCCCGGAGTGGACTGGCCCCCTGCACTACCCCCACTATTGGCGGGCTGCCCTCCCAGCACTTGCTTCACGTCGTGGTCGCTCGCAAACTCAGCCAGGATCGTCGTGTTGATCAGCACGCAGTTGTTCAGGTTGTCTTGAGCCTTTAAAATAGGACGTTTGTGAACATTTTTTCGTTCATATACATACACTAGTTCAAGATGCGTGCGATTCAAATGTTTCACGCTTCATTGGAATCTCACTCAAATTTGTGACGAACTATTCCTTACACTCTGATGAATAAACCCCCTATTCATGCCACCGACGTTCAAGACAAGTAGGTTATAATTTTGGTACAGTGAACGATGAAAGAGCGATTGCCTCCTACGCTGATTTGAAAAATATATCAGGTGCCACAAGCGTTTATGAAGGCAAGGTGGCAGAGGTGGTTCGTGACACAAGAAGATTGAAGTTTGCGATTAAAAATCAACAGCATGAATTTTAAATGAAGAAAAGAAATAAATTGGACAAAAAAAAAAAAACGAATTGTCTGAATCGCCAATTGAACAGAATGACTACTTCACTAAACCTTTAAAAACTTTTAAAGTGAAAGCTCAACTCTTTTCTGTAGATAAATCAACTATCGGCAATTCTATATGAATCTCAATGCTTGTGAAATAGAATTACCGTCAATAGACTAAGAACGCCATTGATTACTCATCAAACTGAACTCGCTTCCAGTGAAAGACAAAATTAAAAGAGGACAAGTTTACCTTGCAGGCCTCTTCGCAGGTGCCGTAATTGACGAGAGCAAAGCCTTGGTTCAGAGCCAAGTGGAAGTTGACGAGGGGTCCGTGCTGCATGCACAGAGTCTTCAGAGTGGAACCGTCAATCTGTACCAACAACAGGATTAAGTATGAGCTTGCTGTGTCTTGAGTGATGCAACATGCCCACACTGACAAGGGCTTCTTAGTAGCCTTCCATTGAAAATATCTCAAGTAACAAAAACAGGATTCAGTATGAGCTTGCTGTGTCTTGAGTGATGCAACATACCTACACTGGAAAGTGCTTTTTAGGAGACTTCCATTGAAAAGATCTCAAGTTGCCATCACGACACTCGCGCAATAAACAAGGAAACCTCGTTCATCCTTGTTGCATATAACAATTTCAGTGGAAACAAACGAACTATCGAGATTCGAGTAAATTAGTTTCCATTAACACAAGTAGTCAAGTACATTCAATGATTTTGTTTAGTGACATAGCTTTAAACCTTTCCTTTTTGAAATGATATCTCATAGTTATTTTGCAATTCGTTCCCTACAAGTAAAATGAAATGACAACATATTATTTAGTCTACAGTGATAACTCATTAATTTCGACCTATAGCACAACACAGAGAATCTCCACAGCTTGACAGAAGTCTAAACGACAGGGAATTATACTCGAGGCATTATAAAGTGACAGTAAGGCACCAAACATTGTTCACTAACCATCAGAAGCTGTTAGTAAGCAAGAGCAAGGAAGTTAGGGGCACCTGCGGAGTGAGGTTCCTGAGAATGAGCCAAGTAGAGGGCGGCGGCTGCAGAGGCCAGGTGCTCTGCGACTGCTGCTGTAAGGCACTTGAACTGTTGGCTTGCGAAGTTCTTTGGTCCCCTAGCCAGGCTGGGCGCCCCAGGCCTCCCCACGACATGGAAGAGGAAGAGGACAGTCCAGGAGGACCTCCTCCACCATGCTTGGTGGTGCCGATTGAGTTCCAAATGTCGTTGGCAAGGCAAGAGGAGGAGGCGTCGCTCCACACGTTTGACTTGCCATTCTTGACAGCATCGACACCACCTCCAAGCTGCTGCGGGTTGTTCGACCACGTGGAAGAGGTGAGTGGCAGAGACGGAAGCTCAGACGGTATGCTACTGGAAGCTTTGGTCATGGTCAGCAGGGGTGATGGGGTCACCGAGCCCGGAGTGATGGTCGGGTCGTCCTCGATTACTTTCGTCTGAAAGATACAACTTGCATCAATACTGAAGATCAAAACCGGATATTGCACTTTTCTCGCGACATGGACAAACTAGTGTTATCTTATTCTGCAGAAACCTCCAAATCTATTATTTAATCACCTTGAAAACAGGCTGAGAATTCCAAAAGGTTTTGATATATTGATAGTTTGTTATAAAACTCGCTCTTTTAACATGGTATTCTTGTGCATGATTAACAAAAGTATAAGCAATAATTGTAAGTTTCTTCGCTCAAGTAGTGTGATGTGCAGAATAAGACAACAGTTAGGTGAGTGAATCTATGAGGTGCAATAAATAATTGATGAGCAGACAGCTAGAGTGTTGTTGAAGGGAGCGACATTGACATCAGTGCTTGGAAGTTTGAAGCAACTGATGGTTCATCTGAATGGTTTTACACAAACTTGCGGCAGGGCCTTCCACGGATTGGATTATTCAAAGCGCTGTCACAAAATCATGATATAATGAAAATTAATCAACCGATAAGACTGTGATATTTGCCGTATATTTTAAAATGAATGTTATTGCAGGTGTTGGACGTTTTGGAGCGTCCTTAGTTGATTAAGGTTCGATCAAGATCAAACTTGACACCAAAATTCTCAAATCCGGAGATTGCAACTTTTCTTCTCGTCCATCCATCACCGCAAACGTAATGCTATGGAGAAAAATTCGTTGCCCAAATTACCATCCAGCGTTTGCCAGGCTCGAAGGGCTTGATATCGAGTTCAGCAACGTTGGTCTGTGAGCCGACCGGCGCCCACGAGTCCAGGATGGACGGCCCTTTGTCGCCGTCACCGGCGCTGCTGCTGATCTGCGGCCAGCCGCTGCTGTCGCGGCCGCTCGGTGTTTGCGACCACGTGCTAATGTCAAAGTTCACATCAGGTGTGTAATCCGTTTTTGCATCAAAAGCGTAAATTGTGAATGGATTTATAACAATTATAATATGCATTCCATTACCACTCACAATTTATTATAAAGAAGATCAATTGAGATCACGGCGTACGAAAATGAACAATTTGAAGCAATGAGGAGCGCATCTTGATTTTAAACAAAAATAAGACCTATCCTAGACAGGAATGCAGCACTCTCTCTATGGAGACCCTAGATACGTTAAGTGGCCACGGCTCACATTGACAGCTCACGTCAAGACAGCACACCCACCACTGACGCTATCCAAATGACGCTGGCTAGCACAGCACACTGCCAAATGAAGCAAATAGGACTCACGACTAAAATGATAATGCCTGACAAATGAAGTATATCAACAGTTTTGGCTGATGATTATAATTTTCGATAGTATTCAATAAATTATTAAATTCTTTCAGCAAATGCTAGACAGTTTGCAATGTAAGTTCAGCTTTTCAATTTACAGCATTAAAACTTCAAAGAAGTACACTTGTCTTCTGTATAATATAGTTGACATAGAATAGTTGAAAATACAAATAAGTTTGCCCGATGCATAGTATCAACTGTGATGAACAGCCTTCAACTGTGATGAACAGCGTATGAACTGTGATGAAAAGCGTATCAACTGTGATGGACAGCGTATCAACTGTGATGGACAGCGTATCAACTGTGATGGACAGCGTATCAACTGTGACGAAAAGGGTATCAACTGTGATGATTGTCAGGTCAGAGGACCGCAACTCTGGGTTTCTTCAGTCGATATCAGTGAGAGAGGAGACTTCTAGTTACCTGCCAGGGAAGCCAAGTGAGAAGTTGGGGGCCTGCGAAGGCGGTTGCTTGCCCGGGGCGCCTGGCGCGCGCATAAAGTCGGGGGTGAGGACGTCGTCAGCCTCAGAGGGCGGCAACTTCCATTCCTTGTTCAGGCGGCTGTTCTGAGGCATCGTCTGCTGCTGAATTCTTACGCCGAGATTGAGCTGGTCGACGAGGTTCATTTGGCCGAATGGAGCAGAGAGCTGGTCAGGCAGCATGGCTGACTTGTAGAAGTCGTTAGGTGGTCCCACCGAAGGCTTGGGGGGACCCATAGCTTGTTGAGGTTGCTGTTGTTGTTGCTGTTGCTGCTGCTGGCGAACGTACTGAGCCTGCTGAGACACGATCTGGTTCTGTTGGCAAATTACACGTTATGTTAGTGAGGAATGTGAATGCACATGATGACTATAAAGCAGCCTACAAGTTGTCTTCGCCGTTAATTCAAGTGCGAGCGCCGAGCAGCTCGACACACGCGTCATCAAGCCCCGTCTAAATTACAGGCCGTCCATTGGTACCAAGGCATCCTAGCATCTTCTTCAAATCTGGTCAATGATCTTGAATCTCAAGAAGTAGCGCCAAGAAAAATAACTATTACAAGCAGAAATGACTTAGGCAGAACATTGACAAACGAATTTTGTTTACAGGCCCTCTCGAAAGGCCGGTCCACAAGCTCAGTTTTACACGATTTGCCTGCGCAATTCAAAACGTTGCACACAAAGGCACAATACCAAAATTGACCAAAGTACTACCTCCTCCATGGCGAGATCGCACAAAACTGTGCAAAATACAGGTATGTCGGCACCATGTGGACGCTCTAAAAATTGCAACAATTTCATTCCGACTCAAGACTGCGCAAAGAAATCGTTGTGTAAAACTGAGCGTGTGGACCACCCTTAACTCGAGTAATTGCAATCGCTGAGAGCGATCAAGTTGGGCGCAAAGATAAGCATGATTGATGAGAAAAAAAAACAAATTTGCAATTGAAAACAGTTTGAATTCACTTACAAGCTTTCAGCGAAGTCTAAATCTTCACTATTGATCATTGAAATAAGATGTAGGACAACTAATGATATGATCACATTTTCATCTCACAAAAAAGTACAAATACAAATACTGGATGAAGAGCTAGAGCTACCAGACGACGCTCTTACCTGAATGTTTGTGATCTGTTGCTTGGTTTTAGCAATATGAACATTGAGCTGCAGAATAGTGGGATTGTTGGCATGCGGTGCTTGTGGCGGAAGAGAGTTCATCTGCTGGTTGAGCTTCTGCAGCGCGTTGATCTGCGTGAGCATGGAGTTGAGGAGGACGAGCGTGGTGGGTGCGAGTGACTGGTTTAGAATCTGAGGGTTGAGGTAGCCCGCTTGCACGGCCATCTGGATGTGCTGCATCAGAGCCCGAACGTGGGTGCCGTTCGCTCCAGACGCCCCGCCACCCTGACGACCAAGAGATACTCGTAAATATTGTGAGCAATCAAGTGCCGTGCGGGCCTTCAGCGTCCGACACCTGAACCCGCGACGCTTAATTACGGACTAACCGTTCATTCTGTTCACAAAGCCCAATAGTTAAGTCACCAACTAACTCTGATCTCTGGCTACAAATAATGACTCAATCATCGTTTTCCCGATACTATAATAAACACCACAGTAACTGTGTGCATATTTTAAGCCTCACAGTAACTGAGCGTCATCAGAGGTTTCATCATCGTAGTGTAAAAAATCGACTGTAATGAGGGCAAGAAATGTTTAGAGGACGCCTACATTCAGGTCAAGTCGCACTGGGTAAAGCTTTAATATATGAAGTAATATACATGGATTATAGATACAAGAGTAACACAGCGTGAGAACACCATCGAGTTCACGAAATAACTGAGAGCCTCAAACAAGCTTCTAACTGTCATGATTCCCACTATTAGATTTTAAGCAAAATATTACACATTGAGTGAAAAAATATAACTCAGCCAAGCATGAGCACTATAAAACACAACGTGAAATATTAAAAACATGAATGATCAACGAGTTAAACTTCCAAATGGTCACGACAAACCAAAAACTTCTCTCCCTACACAAAGAAACAATTGTAGTGTCATTTAGTACTGGTATAAAGTAAATAACAAGGAAAAATTCAAAAGCAGCTCATTGCTTAGGCAGTGATGGCGGCTTCAGCTGTATTGGCGTCGTTTATGTCGCTCATTTCACTTCGCTAGATTCACAGGTTTTCCATTCTATTCTGAGATGAGCACGACACGAGCGGCAGCAGACAGCAATTAGGCGCCAAGCTACAACTAATGCGCATGAATTTCTTCGAGTAAACACATCACGGCAGCCGAGCTACGCTAACACGGAACGCACAGCACGAGAACGTACCGAGCACGGCAATGTAGCGATGCATTCGAGCCAGCCAAGGCCGCAGCTAACTAGTTAAGCACCAGCTTAAAATCCCATACACAAAAGCGACATATCAACACTTTCCAAGAAGCATTCAAAGAAGTGCACACTATCGCTCAGTGCAACTCACAAGACATTAGAACACATCTTAGGGGTTTGCAACAAAAAATGAAATATTGCTGTGATGGAAGTGAACTGGAAGTTGAATGTCGGGTAATTTCAATTCTTAAGTTACTCAGCGTATGCGTTACGGTAAACAAGTTAGAAATGACACTACACTGAAACAAATTTTTACTACAATAACTCCACCGTCAAATTTCATTAGATATTTCCAACAGCAAAGTAGCAAGAGAACTTTCTACGGAACACCGCAATTACGTTGTAAATCGTGCACGTTAGTTCAGCAAACCCAACTACAAACAGCAACGATTAAGTCTTCATGATGACAATACTCATGTAGCCAAGATAATGTGACGAAGCTACGAAGACAGCAATCGAGATTTTCGTACAGACCTCTCTTAGAAGACAACCAACCAACTGCCCAACTAAGCTCATATTAATTATTTGTTCGTTGCGACGATAGTCAGACCTCGCCATGACAGAAACCTGAGACGCGATGTTGTCCCGAGCCTCTGTGTACAGCGGGGATTATAATGAGACTAAGGAGACCCACAAGCACGGTGACGATGCCAATGATTCACCTGAACGGCAGCACCGATTTGGTGAGAAGGATGCTGCTGACCAGAGGCTCCTACACCACCAACTGCCGTGTTCGGGAAGCGGTGCTGATTGAAGTTATTCGACGAACCAAGATCATGGAAAGAAGCAGCAGCAGCACTATTAGCAGCTGCTGCAGCAGCTGCCGCAACAGCCGCAGCAGAGGGACCGTGCTCATCAAGGGGAGGATTGCGCCACATTTCAGCCGCAGCGTTGCGGTCAATCTCCTCCAGAGCAGTTCGCCCCAAGGCGGCGTCCAATTCTTCCTTCTGCTGCGACACACCAAGCGCTTGTTAGTGCTCGACACACGACCATAGCTCAACGACCTCCTCACTCTCCACCCAATACTTCTCTTCTTAGATCTTCAATATTACTCAAGAATGAACAGGCAAAGATTTACTCCTCAAAACTAGAATGAATCGTAATTATGTTTGAGATGAGACGCTAAAAACGATGAAGCCAAGGGAAGATGACCCATCACAAAAAATATTGAACTCAAGAGTAGCTGTTATGCTCGAAACTTGATTTCATCAAGCTTTCAATTTAGATAGGTTGTGAGCTTTGAATGTTCATGAATGGGTGAGAGAGAAGTGAGTTAGTCACTATAAAATAATACTCTACTACACATATAAATAAGCTACTTTTAAAGGCAGAATGAGTTCAGAATGATTAGTTAGATGGAGCGGACTAATCAGATGAAATAAAGAAATAATCAAATACAAATATGAAATACGAAAGCATGAGACATCATTAAGAAACTGAACAAAAAGTGAAGTGCTTACAAACGAAAGATGCCGTTAAATAATAAACATTAATGCGGTAATAAGCAATTGCTACTCCACGAAATGAGGACATGCATGCACAAGCTTAAGATAGTGCACTTAGACTAGCAAGCGATGTGAGATATGAGAAAGACAGAAGGGCTACTGATGCTCAGAGAGACGTTAGGGATGAGGCTTTGTTTGCAAGCGATGTGAAAACGAGCGAGGCTTCATACAATACATCGTATCGACATGACAGCTTACTGCAAGGTAATGAGTGTCAATACAAGAGGTGAACATCTAAAAGAGAGGTGAACATCTTAAATAATAAAAAATACGTGAATGCTCTGAGATTCAGCGAGACGTTGCTGGTCGCAAGCGTGTAAGAACTCGATCGAATGAATCGTTACTTCAATTGCTGTAAGGAAACAAACGGGGTGCTCACTTATGAACTCTCGGCAGCTGTCTAAAATAAATTGCGACGATGCATGATACTAGTGGATAAAATATTTCGGAGATTCAGACACCAGAACACAGTTAAACCTTCTCAACTGGACAAGCAACGTGAAGCTTTGAAAACGAGCTGCAATATGTGGACGGATCATTCATAACTGACACGAATCATATCAGGATAGTTACACTAAATCAACGGTATAGGAGCTGTTGTCAGGGAACTCATGCAAGCAATATTTAACAACGTCCATTAGATAAAAGGCACAGCCGACGACCTCCACGGAATATTCGATGCACAACAACAGGCAGGACAGGGTCTTGACCGGGATTTGATATACAGAACAATGCTAGAAAAACTCTGGCTCATTTGCAGAGCACGAGACGACAAGAAGCATACAGAACGAACGTTCAAAATCCCACAAGCGTAACTTTGTCAAGAAAAGAACAGCTCAGATGATCGTCGACAGTTTGTAGAACATGCATACGGCGACAGTAGCCGACGTAAGAATATAAAGAAAACCTAGCAAACTTGAAGCGCATTGACGACCACACGACTACCTCATGGTCGGCCAGCTTGAAGGCACGTCTCACAGGATAGTAGATACAAGATTCAAGCAGGCACATTGATCAGTACGCTACAAATAACGTCGGCACAAGCACAAACGTGGAACGCCTAATAAGCAACGAACGCGGTGGCAGCAGCGCCAACGGCCGTAGCATCGGTACAATACAAGAAATTTGCAATAAATAACGCTAGTTTCGGTTTACTGGCTGAGACTTGACTTCTTCGTAATACTCAAGATTCACATTATCAACGCTGAGCGCTTGAAAACACGTGACATAAAGGGAGTTCCTTAAGACAGCTCTTGATTATACATCAAAGAACCCAAAAACTGAACAAGCAAAATTTCTCTATTGCCATCACTCAGAACGAGCGATTCGTCATTATTACTTTTTGATTATTACTTTTTCATTATTATTATTTCATTATATTATTGTCATTATTACTTTTTCTAATTATTTGAATCTTTAATTCAAATAATTTTGAGTTCTCAAGTAGCAGAAGTTGAAATTTATGAGCCATCGGTTGAGGCAGGAGAAAAGCACAGCCTCAGCCAGTAAAGAACAAAGCACACGTGAAATATACGGCAATTACACGGCAGGCCAAGAGTTGCCCCACAAAAGCAATCAATCATCAACGAAGAATACAGCATATCAACAAGTTTGTACGGAGGTTACAGTTTATTTAAGTCGAGCAGGAAAGTCAAAGCGCGTGCACGAACTTGCTCCTCACCTTGCACGCCATTTCGATGCGATATTTGATGTTAGCTAAATCTTTATTGGTCATCCCTCTGTGCACCTGCTGCTATAGGGGGCAGAGAGAACTGGACGTGAGCGGCGCTGCTACGGCACATACAGCCTCCCACACACACACAGCCCTTCTATTACAACCATTCTGATGGACTACCCATCGCCAACGAATGTTAATGCACGTCTAACATTCTCATCACTAAGAATTCTACGAGAACAATGATACTCAAACTAATATACAGCAGATAAATTTGTTTCGCCTGTCGCCTCAAGAGGACAACATGGCAGCTGATCAAGATACTGCTTTAGGTCGAGAAGGCATGCGAATTCTCAGAGATATTACAGGCAAATGATTAACGTCTTCACGCGAATAATGATGGTTAGTTTTTAGAAACTCTGACAAGTAGAGTGAAAGCACTGTTACAATAATTGCTTCTGCAGTGATAATTCTGATAAATGGGGAATGTCGAGGTACAATCTACCTACCAGCGCTATTTAAATGTAGCCATTTAACAATGATATTCATTCACATAATTTGAATGAATCGAGTCTTGCTCAATATGTCTGTACACTGAAATAACCAACATTGGATGTCTTATACGTTCAGTCGCTAACGCGTATGATCCAAATTCTAAGCGCCACTCAATCAAAAGGTCCGAAATACAGAAGACGTTTCATATTAGGCCCACAAGTCGCATGGCTAGCACTACACTATGGCCATTCAATTGATGTATGAACTCCTTCGCTCCTAGGCCTCAACGGATTTGACGCCGAATACACTTAGAGCTTCCCTTCTACTAACATAGCTTGGGCTGCAACGGTAATCATTTTAGCTGAATTGTGTAGCAGTGACTTTAAATAAAACTCGACGGCAAAGACAATCTGCGCTGCGAGCTGAGATCGATCACCCGACGGACACATGGCAGAGGCGTTGCAGCTCACCTTGTACTGAGCCACAATGCCATCCATGTCGGGGTCTTGCCAGCCCCCAGCGCCACCGTGCGGAATTTTAGGTTTGTTGTTCCACGACGGGGAGGCTTGGTCAGCCGAGCCCCAGCTGCTGGACTTGGAGTCGTCGCCCCACACACCTGCGCCTCCTGCAGCCTCGTGAGGAGGTTCACCCCAGTTCCCATTCCGGCTGTTGGTGTCCAAGAATAAAATTAATGGACGTTACGATTAAGCGGTGGCCAGGTAAAGATGGCATGAAAAGACAAGGTCATGTGAAATAATAACCAATAACTAAAGGCAAAGATTTAAATTAGCGCGAGCATCCGCAGCAACAATTTAATAAAATCCTTGTTCTTTTCGAACAATATATCTTAATTGTGTTAGGACCGAGTTTTGAATGAAATATATTTCATGGATTTCATTCAATTTGGAAAGACTAAGGCAGGTTAAGGCTTAAGTGCCGTGCAGAAGACACAGACCCAGGATGTCCCCACATGGCAGGGCCGGGAGTGGGCGGCTGCTTAGGCGGTGGTTGTTGCTGCGGCCCAGCGAGGTGAGGCGGCGGCATGCGCTGCTGTTGTGGCGGCGGGGGCTGTTGCTGCAGACCAGCAGCAGCCATCATGGCAGCAGGATTGTTCTGCATCTGCTGCTCTTTCCAGCGCGACACGTTGCTCTGGGGCTGCTGCTGGGGGTTGCCCCATACTGCCGTGCCGTCGTCGCCGCGACGCGACATCGCCGCCGGATTGGCAGGCTCATCCCAGCCTGACCCGCCGCCCACTTTCGACATGTCTTTGCCGCCCCAGACGCCACCAGCACCGGGTATTCCTCCAGGGCCCGGGGGGCCATTGAGGTGGTGGACGGCGGCGTTATGAGGTCGACCAGGGGGGCCCTGGTGGTGCCCCACGTGTGGGGGTACATGCGCTGCGGGATGCATGCCGTGCGGCCCCAAGTGAGGGTGGCCGTGCAGTCCTCCGGGAGGCCCGACAGGGGCGTTGGCATGAGGTGGCATGTGTCCCGGCATCTTCGGAGGGCCGTGAGGCCATCCGTCAGGACCAGGCTCCACATTAGCGCGAGGAGGCCCCGCGTGGTCAGGCCAGCCAGGCTGAGCGCCCTGCCAGTCTGTGGGCTTCTTTTGCTGGGCCCACATGTTGGGCCCCGCATTGGCGACGGCCGCCACGGCAGCAGCAGCAGCCACGTTGGGCCACTGTGGCTGCGGTCCTCCAGTAGGAGGAGGAGGACCAGCGGGGTTCCAGGCATTGCTCGTGTCGCTCTGGTCGTCGTCTTCTCCCCAGGTGCCGCCATAGTTGGTGGCGGGGGTGTGGCCCCAAGGGGCCTGCTGGGGCTTTGGAGGAGGGGCTCCGCCGTTGCGAAGGTTGTTCTCCCACAACTCAGTGCCGTTGTTGACTAGTTTCCACTGTTGTGTGGGAGCGTCCTTGCTGGGCTCTGGGGAGGCAGGCAAATCCCAGGAGGTGTCTTGATTGACGTTCTCGCCACCCCAGCCCTCGTAACTAAGCAGAGCATCGCGTATGTTCTGTAAGTCTTTGTGCCTCTTATTGGCTTCCGTCGAGTTAGTGGTCTTGTTGGCGCCCCAGTTGCTGGTGCTTGACGCGGCCCCCGCACCACCACCGGCTGGTGGTGGTAGGTTGGCCGCCGACTGGCCGCTGCTGGAGACAGCAGGCGCCTGCTTCAGACCAGCTGCAGTGGCTGATGGAGGACCAGAAGAGCCTGCGCCACCTGGTGTTCTGCCACTGCCCCACTGGGAAGCACCGCTAGGTACACTGCTGGACTGGTTACTCCAGCCAGCAGCGGCTTGAGTGGCACCGCCACCCCAGCCATTCGCGGCGGCAGTTTCGCCACCGCCCGCTAAGCCTAATCCAACAGGGATGCCCCATCTATTGACTGGTCCGCCAAGGCGGTGTTTGAAGCCATACCTGCTGGCCACACCACAGCCCCACGCCGGCACCGACGCCTTCTGCAAACAGGCACCCTGCTCCTGCTGCTCTCGAGCAGCAGCAGCAGCCGTAACCTTGAGCAGGAGAGGCTTGGCGCCAGCACAATTAAAGCTAAGTTGAAATTCAGTGTTGCACTGAGAATGGCTGGGAATGTTGAGAGGGGCCATGGCAAGGTCGTTGCTTAAGGAGTGTGCTACGAGGAGTACATCAATGTTACTGCCAGAGGACGAGCTTGTTGTCGAGTCTGCCACAGTAGAGGACGGAGAATGGGATAGCACGCAGCGTACAGGCCCTGATGGCAGCTCGGGCAGCGCCAGAGACCTCTGGAAGCAGGAGCTCGATATCACAGATTGCAGAAAGTGAGCGCGGGTGAGAGCAGAGACCGAGGTGGCAGCTCCAACCACATCAGACCCACTCGTCACCACACCATAACACCACCAGCTGAAGCTGGCATCTCTTTCATCATCACTTGGAGCACAGGTGCTTCTGCTGTCCGCGGCACACAGGGCTTTGCATGGTGATGCTCTTCTCCTCTCCACGTATACACCAGCCTGCAGGCACACCAATATCTTAGTTCATTGGTAGGCACAAAACTGTGTTATACTAAATGATGCACCCAATTCAATAAAGTGGCATTCAAGTCTAAATTCAAAATTATTAATTTATAGAACAATGGAAAGCAATAGATTAAAAATTTTGTAACTTGTTCAAACACGGAATTTGGCAGCGACGGAACTGGCCGCTGAAGCTAAAGTTCTCATTCTGGCCAGCCGACTTTGTGCTACACTGCCACTTGTGAGTGAGATGTCTGCTGAGCAGCACAAGGTTTATATGCATTCATGAGTTTAGCAAAAAGTGAGTTATAAAATACAGTGCAGCGGACATATTTTCCTCATATTTGGTATTGAACCACCCGGCTGACAGGAGCAAGAACTATAGTGGCCGTTTCTGCCACCACTGCTCCTCAATTCTGCATTTGAACAGTTACAAAAATTTTTGAATTGCTCTTTTCTATTGGTGTTTAAATTATTCATTTTGAATTTACACTAAAAAAAACAAATTTATCTAATTGGTTTCATCATTTAGAATTGCCCTCAGCCCTGCACATAAAAAATTATAGGAACATTTTCAATAATATATCACACATAATTGCATGCCAATTTCATTCAAATTGTCATTCCAAACAAATAGAACCATATTCTCTAAGCTACATCTCACACAGTTTTCTAATTAAATTCATTAGGATTATATTTGGCTAAATGACCAAAACATTGAGGTACTCACAAGAGGTGATACAGGCACTTTGTTGGTAGGAAACTCATGATTTGGCAAATTTGTGACCAGGAAGGCGTGGTGTGCTTCAATAAGATTATCCATATTGGAGGAACGCCTACCGCCACACCATTGACAGCTCTGCAACACAAGCGTTAGTGTAAAAGGGATGTGGCAATGCTAGCAGTCAACTTCACTGCAATGACTATAGAAATTTCCATCAAATCCAATATAGAACGAGTTCTAGGTCTACACTAAAAGTGGGTGGTTCGCAGGTAATTAAAACATGACATTGTGAACACCGTCCTGAAAATCAATCAAAAATGCCAAAAATTCTATGAAAAATTACAATGATTAAATTATGCAAGATGGCTCTTTGCATCTACTCTTTGCCAAAGAAATGATAAGGAAAAACTTTCTGGAGCAAACTTGATTATTTTCAGGACTTGATTTTGTCCAAGGAGATGCTTCTTATACTTCCACCGTACAGAATTGCTATCTTCCTACCATGCAGCATTGCTATCATGTGGTTGGTAGAGCTCAATCATTCATTCATGTAGAGCATTAATCATTCATGTTATGAAATGGTTTTATGAGTGTCTTGAGAAGGATGGCTAAGAGGCTGGTGACCGAAGTGAAGTTCTTGGCTTGAGTGGCCAAATTATTTAATTTGAAAGCTTACCTTGAATAGAGTGAAGGCCTCAGTAAGGGTGGATCTCCCTGATGAGAGCTCTACAAGACTGACTGAGCACACATCTACACAATTACACTCTGCAGCTGACAATGCATACAACTCAACATCTGAAAACAATGTCATCCCATTAATTGCAATGCATTCAACTTGACATCTGAAAACAATTATTTCTCATTACTCATGTCTCATAGAGCACTAACAAATAATAATCAACCTGAGAAGAAAAATCTCTAGATAGGCAGTATTTAAACAAGAACATAAAACAAATGTCACCTGACATGAAACTGACCCATTGTGTATAGATATAGATAATTAAGCTAAACAGAAATTCAGGTCTAAACATAGAGCCAAGGACCACAGCAAGAGGACTCATTTTTTTAATTGCAGACAAGGTGAGTAGAAGTCCCATCTTCTGAAGTGCAACATGTGCATCAAACGGCAGCATTTAACTTAACTCTTATTACCGGTACCTCAGATGTGCTAATAAGTAATGACAGGAATTCAATATTTCTATAATCAAATTGTTGCAATAGGATACCTCTATATCTTAGGGTGTAAATTAGGATCAACGAGCAACATCAGGATCAAGGAGCAACATCAGGATCATGAAGGCAACATCAGGATCATGAGGGCAACATCAGGGTCATGAGGGCAACATCAGGATCATGAGGGCAACATCAGGATCATGAGGGCAACATCAGGATCATGAGGGCAACATCAGGATCATGAGAGTGACAGCATCAATTTGAACCATTTCCTTATGGCAGGTTTCCTCTCATAAACCTACACAATCACAAAAGCACCCAAGCCCACATAATAAATCCTATCTCAGGTTACTCAATTTTTTTCTAAGCCATCCCTCAGAACAGCCATGTTTCCAACAGCCTGTAAATATTGTCTCAGCCAGTCAACTTTAATTCTTGGCACTGACTTTTTGAGGAGTATAAATATCTTGGTTTCACATAATGACAATTTACTGCTATTAAATACTGTAAAATGGGGTAACTTAGAACACTTTTTTTTAAATGATGCCATTTTTTACTAAATTAAACTTAAATAGAAACTTGCAAAATACAGGTCTATACTCTAGTTCCACTCACCATAAATTGCTGGCTCCTGCCTCTCATAGTTTTTAGAAATTTAAAAAAAAAAATGATGGTCTTTGTTACCTTACCTCTTAGGGTATCTTAGACTGGGTGGTAAAATCAATATATTTTTTGGTAAAATAATTCCAAATAACTCCAGGTTTTGGTGCATTGTAGTAGAACTCTACTAGTTACATATGCAAATGACAAATTTGAGGAAAGTGTCATAGTTTGCAAATGAGCTTTTTTTTTGTGGGTCACATTTTTAATTTTTTAACCTATTAGATATGCAAACTTTTTAAATCTTTCTATTGTGTTATGTAGCCTCAGTATTAGGCCTTTAATGCCTCAGTATTAGGCCATTGATAAAATTTTTCTATGTCAAATAGTTTTTGAGTCTTGTGGGTTTTGGTTAAAAAAACGAAAAGTGGTCTAAGTTACCACATTTTACGGTACAAGTCCATTTTTTCAATTTGCTTCAACCAACTGATTTTTTCATAAAAGGAGTTGCTACTTTTAGGACAAATATTACTTTACAAAATTTTTCTCAAAATTGTTATTCTTTATCATTTATGTACATATATATTGGTTTTGTGTTTCAATTTTTTACCAAAACATTCTATTTCAGGTAGCCCAGTTTCAATCAATTGCATTTTGTTTGGAGAATCCGCTTGATCCCCACTTGTGTTGAATCACGTTACATGAAGCACAAGGCATGCCTAAGCAGCTCGGAATTTTATTCTGAATTCTCTTCATATTCTTACCCTCAATTATTTCCCATATCTCTTTTTAGCGCATTTTCTCATTTATGGAAAAAAGGCACTATTGTGCTCGTCATGTGCATCTTTCCAACTTTCGGTGACTTCTCGTTTTTGTTGACAAGAAAATTTGCTCTCTGTCACTCACTGCAGTGAGTACTGAGTTACATTTATTTGCATTTTTTTTGTTACAGCAATTTTCTGATTACATGTCTAGTTGTTAAAGTTGCACTATTGCACAGATAGCCCAGTCCTTATTAGTCTACAGAGAGGAAGTTGGTAACAATCCAATCAATGTTGCATGTACTTGTGGCCAGAATCAATGAAGCAGCACTACAGGTTTGAAATCTTTTATTGCTCACTTAAAATTATGAACTCAAGTCAATTAATAAAGCTGCGTTATTGATTTCACAACAGCAACACACATCAGCCAAGGAATATCTTGAAAAGACAAGAATATGAAACTAAACAACATTACATTATATTAAATGGTATGAGGGGTGTCCATCACTTTAGTCAAGTCTTGTTACCTTACAGTTAAATTGGTAAACAGAATTTCATGTCAATGGTCTAAGACTAAAGGCATCTGCATGTCTCGAGTTTTGTAACATGAAATTGTTGTCAACCGTGTTCATGGTTGACAACTATAGGTATGTTAAGACTGAAAAACATAGTTTAAATCATAATACTGCTAACCACTAAATGCTAACAAACATATTTCCCAAGCGCTGTAGAAATTTACCTTTAGCGGGCATATGACCAAACATAGTCACTTCCATCTCTCAGCATTGGCGGGCGTATGCTCATATATGATCACACTAATTTTTGCCATCATATTTCACTATCTTGCATTTGCTTCAAGTAAAAGGCATCATAATCAGTTGATAAAGCAAGTTTTTAACTATGATTCTAGCAACTATCATGATCTTACCTACAGTTCTTCATGGGCTAGAGCTGCTAAAGTGAATGCAATGAGGGCCTGACAAGCCATTTTGCCAGTTCTCCAGTGTACTTAGTTTTTAATTTAGCTCACACAGACGTAAGAGCACGTCAGAGCGCTACGTCATTATCGTCATACATGACGTAACTCGTACACGATCTGTGATTGGTTAGAACTTGTTGGCAGGCTGCCCCAAGCAATGTGGGTGATGTGGGGGGCCTTTATTTACTCCCATTTTAATTACCATATATGGTAACTTACCCTTGAAAGGGTTTAACAACTTTAGGAGCAATGGAGCATGGCACATTTTTTACCGACATATTACAGCGCACATGCAGATTGATAAAAAGACAACATACTTAAAGTCCTGCACACCTGGCACATCTCCTTGAGTCCTGACCAGTGTGGAAATCCAGAGGGGTAATATATTAACTGGTAGACATAGCAAATCGGAAAGCAGTACCCAAAAATCTTGAACATCCAGCACACTTCCACTTTCAGTCCATCATCATCACTGATGAGTCTCTGCAAGATGCTACAGCTGTTTCATTGAAAAAAATAGCACTTGCATCATCACAGTAACAAGAATCCAATCAACGCTTGAACGCATCCAACGTAACAGTCACAAGAATCCAATCAACGCTTGAACGCGTCCAACGTGCTGTCACAGGGATCCAATCATCGCTAGAACGTGTGCAACGTCACAGCCACTGGAATCCAATCAGCAATAGAAAGCTAGAAAGGACTGCCTCAAATGCACAGAATGTTAATGCACTGATGCTAACTTAATGCGTAATGCTATAATTCTTATTTCAAGAGCGTAATACAATAGTGTAGTTATGTCATTATTGATGGAAATCAGGGTTGGCGATTTTTTAAAAAAAAATCAAATAAATCAGAAATCAATGATTTCTTTTTATTTTTTCATGATTTTTTTTTATTTTTTTTTTATTTTTTCAGCTTTTTTGTCTTTTTTGAGATGTTATTTTTATGTTGCAATTAGCCTTCTAACAATAACAGTATGTATATGGATCATAATGGATGGCTAAAAAGGGCACTTATTGCCTCCAATAATGGCCAACAGGCCAAGGTGGTGTTTACCACTTAGGGATTTTTGGGTAAACAATTATTCGTACTATGTCT